TAGGGAAAGGAAAATAAGAGAGAACATAAAGAAAATATCCCTGTCCTCACAAAATGTATGATTTAAAAAAGTGATGCACATATAACAGTTCTACTCCTAGATAACTACCCAACAGAATGACATATATTCTTGAAGAGACTTGCGCTACATAACAGATAGCGGCCCTGTTTATAATAGCTAAACTGGAAGCTATTCAAATGCCCATACACAGACAAAATAAATCGTGTTACATATTACAATTGATTACAATAATGAAAATGAATGATCTAAAATTATATGCAACAACACAAATGAATCTCACAAACAGAATGTTAATGAAAGAAGTAAGCCACACAAGCTTACATGACTGGACTAAATGCACTACCACATGGCTCCATTTACATTAACTACAAAAATAAGCAGAACTAATTTGTGGCGTTAGAAGGCAGGAGAGTAATTTCCCATGGAATGGGTGACTAGAAGGTTGCCTGAGGGGAATGATGAGGGGCTGAAAATGTTGTTTTCTAACTGGGTGGTTACAGAAGTGTGTTCAATTTGTGAAATTTCATCAAGTATATACCCATGATACATACTTTTCTGCATATGTATTCTTCATTAAAAAGTTAAATGGAAGTTGATAATTACTTTGAAACACATCTATAACTTGTAATGAATTTCGGAAATTTAACCTTAAGGGAAACATTTATATTATCATCATCATCATCTAATATAAGTGCTAACCACGTGGCAGGTATTATGTTAAAAGCTTTGCTCGGGTAGCATGGTGGTTAAGGGTGCTGGACTCCCAAACGACCAACTGCAGTTCAAGTCCCAGACCTGGCGGCTTACTTTCTCTCCTCTCCCTCTGGTCAAATTAGAATAAATAAATAAAATGATTGTTAAAAAAAAAAAGCTCTGCTTGGCTAAATCTTACTTAATCCTCACAAATATTCTACAGAGATACAGACAGGATTGTTAGCTCCATTTTCTGATGATAAAACTGAAGCGTGGGAGAGATTAAGTAATATGCCAGGACAGAAAACTAAACTCAGATAACTAACTCCACAAAATAATTTTTAAAGCCATCTTGCTATATAAAATTTTTGCTAAAATAATTCTGTTGTTACGTCAAGGCAAGAAAGATACACTGTGGTCATAAAATTTAATCCACATAAATGTTTATCTACACTACTTTCCAAATAGAACCTCCAATTAGAAGAAACACTAATCTTATTAAGATGTAGTAAGCAATACCCTAGACAATTTGTTTACCACAATCAAAAAACTTTCTTTAGTTGTAGCAATTTGTTCCTAAGAAAATATAAATGTTGAAAGCTTCTAAACATAAACTCTACTTCCCTAACTCAATCCTGCCCATGAAGACCTGACTCCAGAAATGTTAAGTTGGTCTTTAAGGAAACACAGCATGGCAGAAAAGTATAATTAAACTCCTCCCAAACGACCAACTGCAGTTCAAGTCCCAGACCTGGCGGCTTACTTTCTCTCCTCTCCCTCTGGTCAAATTAGAATAAATAAATAAAATGATTGTTAAAAAAAAAAAGCTCTGCTTGGCTAAATCTTACTTAATCCTCACAAATATTCTACAGAGATACAGACAGGATTGTTAGCTCCATTTTCTGATGATAAAACTGAAGCGTGGGAGAGATTAAGTAATATGCCAGGACAGAAAACTAAACTCAGATAACTAACTCCACAAAATAATTTTTAAAGCCATCTTGCTATATAAAATTTTTGCTAAAATAATTCTGTTGTTACGTCAAGGCAAGAAAGATACACTGTGGTCATAAAATTTAATCCACATAAATGTTTATCTACACTACTTTCCAAATAGAACCTCCAATTAGAAGAAACACTAATCTTATTAAGATGTAGTAAGCAATACCCTAGACAATTTGTTTACCACAATCAAAAAACTTTCTTTAGTTGTAGCAATTTGTTCCTAAGAAAATATAAATGTTGAAAGCTTCTAAACATAAACTCTACTTCCCTAACTCAATCCTGCCCATGAAGACCTGACTCCAGAAATGTTAAGTTGGTCTTTAAGGAAACACAGCATGGCAGAAAAGTATAATTAAACTCCTATGTATGCCAGTGGATAGTATGTAAGAATAGGCTGATGACTCACATGCACAATACAGAGTTACTGAGCAAGTTTATGAATGGAAACAGAACAAATGCACTATGTAAAGTTTTTAACAAAGGTAACACAAGGGAAAATAAGTCTATAATCAATTAAAGCATTTGATAATTTACTAACATTAAATTTACCTCTTTGGAGGGGGAAGCGGGAGATGTGAAAATTGTCATCCAATAGGACCATACAAACATGACAAAGAACAGATGGAAAGCCACAAGGTAAACAACGGTCTTTCCTGGTAAATAGAAACAAATAACATTTCATTGAATCCAGGTGAAAACAGGAAAAAGCATTACATTAAAACTCAATACTTGGGTCAAGAGGCCTAATATAATAAAAAAATTTAATTGAAACTTATTGAAACATTGAATATTTAAACTTCGTTGTATGTACAATGTAACACTGATAGATATGAACAAATATTCTGTTCCTGCATTTAAGGGTTATCAGCCTAATTTATAAGCAAAGACTACAGCCTGAGATTGATTTGATTTTAAGTTGTCAAAGATTTAAGTCAAAACACTTCCTTCACTTACTATATTTCAAGTTCTCCCTAAAAGTTAATTTTAAATGACTTAATCGTTTAAAACAGAATCCACCACTATGAACAGTGAGTCCAAGGAACTATAAACTGAAAAGAAACAGAGTACGTTAGCATCATCATGAGTAATGAGTCATTTTGAAACACTCAATATATTATTTGGAAAAAGAATCCTAAATTTCATTTTCCTGTTCAACACAGGCTAACAAGAAAAATTTTTTGCCATTGATTACCTATCATAACTGTTAACCATGTAAATTAGCGTAACATTCTAACATCTTGCTCTCCCAGGGTTAACTCACTGATAAAACTTGAAGCTCTTTGTAGTCCTCTATAGCTTTTTTATTTGAAAGCAGTGGGACTGGTTTCCATAGGAAGCTAGAACTACCTTCCAGGTACTCTTTTTAGTCTGGAATGCAGAACCATAAGCCCGCCGAAGATAATGAAGGGAGGCCTTCAAAAAGTGCATGGAAAAATGTACATCATGGGAAAAACTACACATGAATTGCAAAAAATTTTTGCGCAAAATAAACTTTTACTTTAACTGTATTTTCCCACAGACTTTTAAAAGTCTCCTTGTAAAATACAGATAAGGATAATAGTCTAAAATTCTAATTTTTGAAGTTCTGATCAAATGTGTTTTCTTCCACAAAAATCTTGTCCATTCTTGGGGCCAGCAGTCAGCGTAATGGCTATGTTGCTGGACTCGCACGTAGTCGGCCGCGGTTCGAGTCCCAGACCCAGTGGCTTAAACTCACACCGGGCGCGTGTGCGTGCATGCCCAGGGTCCCGAGAGGAGAATGGAGGAGAAGGGATTGCGGTGTGGCCATCCCCTCTGGGGGGTGATTTCTCACTTTCTGTCTCTCTGTCTGTCTCTGTCTGTCTGGTGAGCGCACGCACCCTGTAGCAAAAACCTCTTCAAAAAAAAAAAATCTTGTCCATTCTTTGAGAATTCATAACCCTTTCCTCATAATGTACTCCAAGTAGCTTAGCTTAGGTTTCAATTAAAGCACTTGCTTCAATAAAGATAGTAGCTTAAAAATGAATAATACATGTAAAACACTTAGAACAGTGCCTGGTACATAATGATCAATAAATACTAGCTGCTGTAATTATTATTATCCTCGCACCTTATTCTTTTCCTCTAATTTTTTTTTTTTTTTTTTTGGTGCATTTGCTACTTCAATGTTTTTCAAGCTGAAGGAGTGGTAATATTTTCACTGGTTTGCTATGAAATGAGAAAAAATTAAGAATGTAGTGGGCTCGGGCCAGTAGGTGGCGCAGTAGTTGTAGTACTGGACTCCACATGGCCAACTGTGGTTTGAGTCTCACACCGGTGGCTTGAAACTGATGCCAGTGAATGTGCATGCATGCCCCCAATCCCAAGAGAGGAGAATGTTGGAGAAGGGACTTTGGCATGGCCACTCTCCCAGGGTGATCTTTCACTTTCTCTGTTTCTTTCTGTGTCTCTAGGGAATGCATGAGCCCTATGGCAAAATTCTCTCTTAAAAAAATTAGAATGTAGTGGGCTCAGCTTTGGTAGCTCAAGCTAGTTGATGCTGCTACTTACTAGGCAGGCTGACGTCACATGGGAAGGTCCCAGGTTCTAATCTTGGCACATCCTAAAAACTAGGCACAGTGGTAAACGCCTGTAAGCACCAACTATTCTAAATGCTAAGATAAGAGGACTGTGACAAAGCAAGACTGTTTTATATTTTGTTTTGCTTTTCAATTTTGCCAAAGGTTGTATGCTTTCACCAAAGACAGAGAGAGAAAGGGAAAGTGAGAAAACACCTCACTCCCACGGAAAATGGTTCACACTGCAATCCCTTCTTTTCCATTTCTCCCTCCTTTCAGGATTTTGGGCATGTATGAATAAGTGTCCAGAATTATTCAAACTCTAGGTCTGGGACTTGAACTGTGCAGTTGCATTAACCACCAGTCCACTAGCTGGTCCAAGACCCTGTGTTTAATTAAAAACCAAACTAAAAACAAAAACAAAAAATCTAACAATGTGGTGACATTTTAATAAAGCCAATATGTGGAGCCAGCAGATGGCATGGTAGTTGAGGCACTGGACTCCCACGTGCATGGCTGACCATGGTTCAAGTTCCGGATCTGGCAGCTTGCTTTCTCACTTCCCCTCTCTGTCTCTTTCTCTCTGGTGAGCAAATGTACCCTATAGCAAATTTTAAATACTAACAAATAAAATTAAATAAATAATTATTTTAAAATACTATTAAAAAAAAAAGCCAATATATATTCAAGTATTGTCCTTCTTCTAGCCTGAGGTTATTTTTCCCTTATATGTTTGGTTAGAAAAAAGTTTGTTTGGGGCTGGCAGGTGGTGTGATGGTTAAGGGCACTGGATTCCCACGTGGCTGACCATGGGTCGAGTCCCAGACTTGGCTTGCTTTCTCACTACCCCCCCCCACTCTGTCTGTCTCTGGCCAAATTAAAATAAGTAAACAAATAAATAAAGTTAAATAATTTTTTAAAAATACTGTATTTGTTTAAAAAAAGTTTGTTCTTTTTAAATGAAATAATAATGATAAAAAATTGACTCCCCTGTTGAAAACTAACATTTTTTTTCCTAAAATTGTACTGGCCATGTCTGATCTCACATAACAGAAACCTCAGTCACACAGCTAGCTGATACAGGAACCCAGGTTCAAATGACACCTCACGCCTCATAGCTAATTGGTATAAATACTTCCAATACTAGCTCCTAAAATTTCTTTCAAAGCAAATTCCTTCTGTTTTCACTGCCAGTGCATAGTTCACAAATTGTTGCCTATTCCTTTGTACTGCTTCAAAAGTCAACTGGCCTCCATACTTCCAATCTTTTTTGTTTCTGATCCATCTAAACAGCTAGTGTCAAATGGGTTGCTTCAGAGTTTCTTCTCCCTGTTGGTTGTTAAATTCTTAGAAAATAACTCTGTCTGTAAGACCAACACATTCTAATAAAACTCTGGGACTTTCTAGCCACCATATTTAACTACAGCTATTCAAATTACCACTCTGACCTACTAGAAGCCTCTTTGAAGACATGTTATCATATGTCTTCTAGACTATACAGTGTCTTGTAAGGTTCTCCAGTTTATACTCACTGACACTCAGAGAAGTGAATATATTCCCAAAGGTCACTTAATTACTAAATGATATAGCCAGAATTTTAACCCTTATATTTTCTTCACTATTAAAGCCATCATCCTTAACACATTCTACTTCTGAGACATCTGATTACAGGATAAAATTCTAAGCATGCCTTCCTTCTACTTTTAAATATGCTTTTTTCACTTCCTCTAATACTGTCATACACACTGAAAATTCTGGTTTTTCAAAATCTGTACACTCTACTTGCCAGTTCCCTCCAGGTTGAATTCCATGTTCTACCCAACGAGCACAGTGTCAATACTTCACTTATTTTTCCTGTGGAAAGCATCCACAAGTTTCATCTTCTACTGTTACCCCAACACTGAGGCCATTTATCAACTCTTCATTGTTGTCTTCTATTAGCTCACTTCTTTTATTTATATTTTTGCCTGGCCCCCATATTTAGTCATTTGTCATTATTCATCTATATATGATTGTATAAGTTTGAGATAAATGGTAAACTTGAAGTACTTGAAACTTCTGAATCACTTATTTACAACTTAGAATGTAAAACAATACAGTCTCCCAATATTTTTAAAGACATTTAATATATTTGTAGAGTATTTCTTCTTTCCATGAGAATAAAATAAAATAGTTTTGTTTTAAAATACATTAATTCTTGGGTCAGCAGGTGGTGTGGTAGACTCCTACATGGTCAATTGGATTGGATCCCATACTTGATGGCTTGAAAAATCACGCCAGACATGTGTGTGCATGTGACCAAAATCCTGAGAGGAAAAATGAAGAGACGGGATTGTAGGTGTGGTCATCTCCCCTGTGGGGGGGTAATAATTTCTCACTTTTGTTCTCTCTGTGTCTCTCCAGTGAGTGGATATGTCCTATGGCAAAACTTTAAAAAAATACAATAAAAAGACATTAATTCTCAAATTTAAAAGGTAGGTAAAATAAATGAAAGCTCTTATCACAATACTCAAAGTATAGAAAGATTCTACCAGATGGTAATGATTAAACTATGAGTAAAGAATAATATAACATATTGCTGTTAAATAAGTTCAAATTAATGTGACTGAAAATGCAAACTTCTGTACACATACATATATATGCTACAAATTACTGGTTACAAGTAATATCTGAAGTAATTTTTGGGGGGGTTGTTAGAGGGTACATGCACTAGACAGAGAAACACACAAAAGAAGAGGGAGAGAAGAAAGCATTTCTATGAGGAATGGTCACATTGCAATTCTTTCTTCATTGTCTCCCCCTTTTCAGATTTTGGACACACATGCATACTTGCATGGCGTGTTTCCCAAGCCACCAGGTCTGGGACTTGAATTGTGCAATTGGCCATATGGGATCTGGCTGTCTTAACCACAAAGCCAGCTCAAAGAAAAATCTTTTTTTTTTTTTAAGAATTATTCAATTATTTATTATTTTATTTTTAAAATTTGCTATAGGGCATATATACTCACAAGGGAAAGACAGAGAGGGAGAGAAAGGGAAAGTGAGAAGGCAAGTGGTCAGGGTCAGGACACAAACTGTGGTTGACCATGTAGGAGTCCAGTGCCTTAACCATTATGCCACCTGCTGGCCCCTCAAAACAAAACCTTAATTAAGCAAATTAAATCAAAATTGACCAAAAAACCCTACAACACAAAGTTTCTATTCAAAAGTCACCTGTAACAATTTTAATAAACAATTTAATCAAAAGGCTCTTTGAGAGATAAGCAAGAAAACAGTACCAAGAGATAATGATACACGTTAAAAGTTCTTTTAAAGACCAGCAGGTGGTGTGGTGGTTAAAGAGCTGGACACTTCCACATGGTCGACCACAGTTCGAGTCCCAGACCTGGTGGCTTGCTTTCTCACTTTCCTTCACTCTATCTGTATCTGTTTAAAAATAAATAAATAAATAAATAAATAGATGGATGGATGGATAAATAAATCATTTTAAAAAGTTCTTTTTATAAAAACTCTAATTCTCTTTCTGTACCTGTGCTTCTTTTTTTTTAAGAGAGATTTTTGTTAAAAGCTGTGTGCTCTTGCCAGAGAGACAGAGACAGATAGAAAGATAGAAAACAAGAAGTCACCCCTGCAACGGAGATCACTATGACACAATCCCTTCTCCTCTTGGGATTTTGGGCACACATGCATGCATGCACACACGCCCAGCCTGAGTTTTACAAACCACAGTCGACTATGTGGGAGTCCAGTGACATAAACATCTGCTAGTCCCTGTATCTGTACTTTTAATGAAAAAAAGAAACATAAGCCTACCAAGATCAAGTCTATGTTTATTATGTGACTGACAAATTAAACTTAAAGGCAACTTGAGATTTACATGTTTAATGCTTAATTAATCTCTAAGTATTATTAGTAGCTTTTATTAGTAGTTACTAAGTATTTATTAGTTTTAAACTGTTCAACTGTTTTAAAAATTCACCGGATTTTTATGTGAAATCAAATTTTATTTATTTATTTATTTGGAGAGGTTTTTGCTATAGGGCACATGTGCTCACCAGAAAGAGAGAGACAGAGAGACAGAAAGCGAGAAATAACACCCCACCCCGGGGGGAG